TCAAATGAAGGGAATTAGTGTTAAATTTCAAATTAAAACTATTTTTATCCAACATAAAAAATAGCGCGTAATTAAATGGTACCAATTTATAGGCGTTGTGAGGGTGCTAATCCTTCCCCACATGTAACTGACTCTCAAACCTAACCTGGTTTTTCGTAGATCAAAATTTATCTTTTTGATAAACTTTAAAACCTGTTTTTTATAGTTTTATTAAAAGGATAAAATTTTGAGTGGTCAATCTACCCTAACAAAGATTGGTGGCGACTCCTCTTATTTACTTCGATTTTAAAACTCATTTACGTCTGACGGTCCCAAAATCGTTATGACAACTTGGCGACTCCACTGGGACTTATTTGAGAGTCAAGCCAAAATTTTAATTATGCGCTATTGACAATGGTTGGATTTAATTGATTTTATTTTGATATTTAATTTAATTTCTTTTTTTTAAAAACATTCATGTTAATAAATAAAATAAATTATGTGTTAGTTATTACTTCATTTTGATTTTGTTTTTGATTTATTCATGTTATTTTGATTAATACATTACCTTGCACACACTATGCATATTTACTCACATGTATGAGCTCTATACCCGGGCTCTTTCCCTTTTAGAAGGAAGTGAAAATAGCTACACTCTCATGAGGTGATAACCTCGCATTGCTAGCGAAACACTTCTATTCAGATTGAACCCTTTTCGTTAGTAGCCTATAATGGATGAGGATTGAGAAACCCTACTAGTCTATAACGGACGATGATGTGAGAAATAGTTTGGAAACCGTTAGACGTATAAAACCTTAACCTAGGCATATCGTGAAAGCATATGAAAAGCTAGCCTAGGGTAAGAAGCTCTTACCGATTCTTTTTATAGAAATAACCAGAAAATGCGGATGATAAAAAGGGAAAAACATTTTCTAAAAAAAATAAATTTTTCTTTTCTTTAACATGTAGTTCATTCATTTTGGTAAATTGTCAAATGATTTTACAATTTCATAAAAATATTTTAGATAAAGTGATTTTTTTTAAAGGCATCTATTCCAACAAGCAAAAAAAAAACAAAAAGGTTTCTAAGAAAAAATTAAGATTTTTCTTAAATTTCTTTGTTCTAATTGGCCCAATTTAAAAAATTAATTGTTCATGTCCTAGTTTATTTGTTTTTCCCTTTAAATTTTTTTTTTATATTATTTCATCTTTTGCATTTCATACATCATAAAAAATAATACATGTATTTCCCATCCATGTACATCATAAAAAGTAGTGTCAGTTTCACTAGTTGACATAATACAGCATTACATTCCATGTTAACATGCACTTGATAGGTTCATGCATTCTATACAAGTATGTTGTATTAGTCATAGGAATACATCTCATCATTCATGTAAATATGTCATTGCATTTCATCCATATAATTCATGAATGTAGGGTCATATGGAACAAACGTTACATTTCATATCCCACTATCCCTGCAACATAACATTCCTTACATACACATTCATGGTTGATAAAAATTTCATTGGGTCATTGTATACATATAAAAATTCATTGTCATAGGCATATATACATTTCATGACATTCTGTAGCCATCGTATTCATGTATTCATACTTCGTGTGTCATTATTTTTGTGATATTCATTCAATAAGGGTAGTAATCTAGAATTTTTTATCTAAGTCCTGGAATAAAATGTCTGTCTTGGTGGGAATCAGAGTCACAAAATGGGAGATCAATTAGAAGCATGGATTAGTGCTTTGAAGTTGAATCAAGAGGAATTATGGCTTGAGTTCGAGAGATGAAACGATAAATTGCTCAATTGATAGAAATGGTTAAAAGTAGTGGTATGGTTGAATTAGTTGCTCCTCAAAAATCGTTGTCACTTCTGTCAAGTCAAAGTCAATTGGCTCTTGTCAGTTCTAGCACTCTGTCAGAGCATGCTAAAGTATTGGGTGATTTGAACAGTGACCAAGGTTTGGGCAAACTCAAGAGAGGAATGGGTGAACTAGCCATGCAAATGACTGAGCTCAAAAGTTAGATTTCTAAGAATAAGCAAGCTGGCTTCAAACAACCTTTACAAACTATCCCGAGTCTAAACTCGCACCCAAATCCTTCTTATGACCATTTTTAACCTCCTTTCCAAGCACCTAGGATTAGGCCCCCAATTTTCATGCAACCATCAAAAATTTCACACTTGAACCATATCTACTATCTCATATTTCACAATCTTTTGTTCAGCATGCTATCCCGTCACTACCTTTTGAACCCAATCTTCGACCCAAAGTTTCTCAATTCACCTCAAGACCAATTAAGCTATCATTTTTTCAGCAAAGCAAACCAACCATAAGACAAAAAAATTATGGTGACACCAAAAGAAAAATCTCTGTTGATCCAATACCTATGTCCTACACAGAGTTGTATCCATTACTTCTAAAAAACTATCTCATTACCCCTATCCTTGCTGAATCTCACAAACTCTTTTCCCTGAATGGTATGACCCCAATGCTCAATGTGAATACTATTTTGGCATCATTGGCCATTCTTTGAAAAATTGCACAGCTTTGAAATATAGGGTGCAAAGACTGATGAAAGCTGTATATTTGAGTTTTGATACCAAGATGAAGCCAGTTATTCACGAGAACCCTTCTTTGAACCATGCCAAGATGGTAGGCAGTGTTGTAGGCAACAGTAGGGTTGGTCAGGGATGATAAATAAAAAGCTTTTTAAGCAAAGAGTTATCCTCCCTAGTAATCATAGTTAACTATTTTTTTAAGAGAGACAAAGGGAAGTGGGAGCAGGTTTGGCACTTTTTAGCCCCAGCCCTATAATGGTTCATGATGTGTAAACTTGATACTTTTAAAAATGAATGAAAACTTCTTTTAACCTAGATTTTCTATGAATTGATGCATTGTTTATTTTATTGACATGCCTAAAAGAGTGTAAGAAAGAATGATGGTTGCAAGTATGTTTTCACCAAATTTTTGAGACAGAAGGGATATATCTAGATGACCCATTTTGAATATAGGATGAAATTCAAGTTTCCTCTTACCAAAGTAACAAAATTTGACTTGCATATCATGCATCATTTGCTTGAATTCATTGCTTTTCATGTCAGCTAAGGACAATGAATGATATTTGTAAATATAATTTTGTCAAACCTTCGAAGTAATTTTTTTTTATAATAGAATTCACGCCATGCATTTCTGACTTTTGACAATTAATAAAAGATTCAAGGATAGCTATTCTAGAAAATGAGGTCAGTTGAGTCTGTACACTTATAGCACTTGAGTCAGTACCAAAATCATAAAAAATGAAGATGCCAATCTAATAGACAGAGTAGAAAAGGCTCAATGAGAGATCGGTGAAACAGTTACAGAAATGCAACAAAACATGAACAGACAGTGGGTAGAATTAAAACAGATATTAGCAGAGTTGACAAAAGGAAAAAGAATTGTTGAAACACACAGGGCAAGGGAGGAAACAATTTTTGAGACACCATTGTATCCATCTGGGTCCACATATGCTCAAGACGCTCATATGCCACAAGTAACTCTAACTACTCATCAACCTTTTACTGACATTTCTGTCAAGATGCCATTAATTTAGATAAATGTCAGTCTTAAGTGCACTTCTAACGACTCCACTGCTGTGCCTAATGGGGATGATTCTAAAAAATCAAAAAAATTAAATAGTGTGCCAGATCCATCAAGAGATACGATAATGAAAGATAAATTTGATCTATTGAAAAAGAGATTGAAGGTAATTAAAGGCCATGATGTGTACGAAAATATTGACGCCAATGAACTTAGTCTAGTGCCTGATCTCGTTATTTCATCAAGATTCAAAGTCCTAGATTTTAAAAAGTATAACAAAACTGGATGTCTTAAAATACATTTAG